AATAATTTTTTTATAACCTCAGGAGCAGTCTCCACCTTCTGATCATAGAGGTTGTACACATTCCACTGTGAAGGCCTCTAGCTGAACCTCAATATCCAGAAGATCATTTGTATTATGCCTGTTAGAACATAGCTTCCCCTTGAAGGTAGTGCCTGACATAAAAGGAGCAGTATTTCTTCTCAGTTCTATTTCTGATATTAAAGCTGGAAGTGGAGACAGTTTGTAGGATCTGTATATTTACGAGCTCAAAGTTTTTGTCACAGTGACATACAGTGAGTCAGAAACCTGTGGAGGACACATGAACCTTTCTCTTCCTCCCTCTTCTTCCTAGTTTGTGGCAAAGAAGCTCTAGCACAATCCTTCTATGAACTTACCACTCTCCCTTCTCCTTGCACCATCTCTTGCTCTGGTGCTTGCCAGCAGGGAGAACAGGAGCAGCACGGTCATACTTTGCCCAGAGAGGCTGCTCTGGGGCTTCTGGGCACCTCTGATTTAGCCAAAGTCTTGCCTGGAAACAAATGTGATTCGTATAGAAGTGGGAAGAGGAGTGGAGCATAACTCCTGGTCCTCAGCTGTCTCATGCAATGCGGAAGCTGAAACATGCAGTGACRATATTTTTTTTCTTATTTCCTGCAGTTTGAAGAAGTTTATGTGGAAACAAGGGATGACCTGCTAAGGCTACAGAACAGTAAGTTTGCCTCATTTATTAGTGATAGAACTATTTGTTTTAGAAATCTGAGAAGTCTCATGTCTCTTCAAAGAAATCACAGAATCACAGAATGGTTAAGATTGGAAGRGACCTCTAGAGATCATCTAGTCCAACCCCCCTGCTCATACAGAGACATCTAGAGCATGTGGCAGAGGGTGGCATCCAGGCGAGTTTTCAAGGAGAGAAGGAGACTCCACAACCTTCCTGGGCASCCTCTTTCAGGGCTCCGTTACACTCACAGGAAAGAACTTCTTCCTCATATGTTGAGGAAGGCCTGTGTTTCAACTTAAACCCATTTCCCCGTGTCCTATTACTGGCCACCACTGAGAACAGCTTGGCCCCTTCCTCCCTACATTACCCCTTCATATACTTATCACAGATGCATATTAATCATATCCCCGCTCAACCTTCTCTTCTCCAGAGAAAACTGGCACAACTCAGTCTCTCCTCATACGAGAGATGTTCCAGTCCCTTAATCACCTTTGTTGYTCTCCACTGGACCCTCTCTAGAAGCTCCTCATCCCTCTTATACCGGGGAGCCCAGAACTGCACTCAATATTCCAGGTGCAGCCTCACCAGAGCTGAGTAGAGGGGCAGCATCTCCACCTGCTGTCAACACTCCACCTCAACCTCCACTGCTGGCTCCACCTCCATCTGCTGGCAACACTCCTCCTGATGCAGGCCAGAATCCCATTGGCCTTCTTGGCCACGAGGGCACACTGCTGGCTCAGGGTTAACTTGTTGTCCACCAGGACTCACATATCCCTCTCTGCAGAGCTGTTTTCCAGCAGGCCACACCTAATCTGTACTGGTGCCTGGGGTTACTCCTCTCCAGATGCAGGACCCTGCACTTGTTGAACCTCTTGAGGTTCCTCTCTGYCCAACTCTCCAGCCTGTCCAGATCCCTCTGAATGGCATCACAGCCCTCCGGAGTATTAGCCACTCCATCCAGCTTGGTATCACCCGCACATTTGCTCAGGGTGCAGTCTGTGCGCTCGTCCAAGTCACTGATGAGCACGTTGAACAACACTGGGCCCTGTACTGACCTCTGCGGGACACCACTAGCCACAGGCCTCCAACTAGACTCATTCCCATTTATCACCACCCTCTGGGCTCTGCCATCCAGCCACTTCTCTATCTCCCTCGCTGTGCACTCGTCCAGACCACACTTAYGGAGCTTTCCTATGAGAATATTATGGGAGACAGTGTTGAAAGCCTTGCTGAAGTCAAGGTAGACAACATCCACAGTTCTCCCCTCATCCAGCTGGCCAATCATGCCACCATAGAAGGCTATTAGGTTCTTCGAACATGCCTTCCCCTTTGGTGAATCCACACTAACTACTCCTGATCACCTTCTTTTCCTTGACTTGCCTAGAGATGCTCTCTAGGATGAGCTCCTCCATCACCTTTCCAGGGATGGAGGTGAGGCTGACTGGTCTGTAGTTTCCCTTCTCCTCCCTCTTGCCCTTTTTGAAGACTGGAGGGATGTTGGCTCTCTTCCAGTCCTCCAGTACCTCCCCCACTCTCCATGACCTCTCGAAGATGATGGAAAATGAGCAATAACCTCTGCCAGTTCCCTCAGCAATCTTCGGTGCATCTCAGCTGGGCACATAGATATATGGGTGGCCAGTTTGCCTAAATAATCCCTAATCCAATCATCCACAGCTGGTGGAAGGTCTTCTTCTCATCCAATTATCTCTCTTTTACCTGGGCTCTGTAGTTCTTGGGGACCAGCCTTAGCAGTAAAAACAGACGTAAAGAAGTCATTTAGTAACTCTGCCTTGTCTCCATCCTCCATCACCAAGGCACCCACCCCATTCAGGAGTGGGCTAATGTTTTCCCT